TATAGCGATGTAACTCATCGTGCAACACGCGCACATGTGGCAGAGCGTCAGAAACACCGGGTAACGGAACCCGTAACTCGATAGAAGAAACTTGTTTAGAAGCAACACGCCGATGTTGCTACAGTACCAGGAGATCACGATCAGAGCGGTGGTGGCGCCGGGGGATAGTTGCGGCCAGGAGCTACTAGCGGGGAGGCCTAAAGTGGGGATGGGTAAGGCGGAAGAGAGTTTATACGGTGAGCTAGGGGAATTTGGAACCCCGCCTCCGCCGCCGCCGCCGCCGGTGCTATTTAACGGCCGTTCTTCCTCCTTGCTGCTCTCTTCTGAGTCTACCTGCGCCTCGGGATCTTCCTTCTCGTCGATTCGCCGATACGGCGCCGCGGCGCTCGGCATGGTGACCTAATTCAATATAGATCGTTCGAAACCTCGTTTGGTCTGTTCCTCTTATCAAATGTCGACCGTATCGGCGCGCTGAGGGATCTACTTTAGGAGCCTAAAAACGATCTGAAAGGGAACGGTAATCTGCCGATTAAAGCCACGACGATGGATCCTAGGCGCGACGCGACTCTGAACAATTTAGCTGGTAACTTATAACGGGTGCCCGCTCCATCTGTTGACACACGCGCTCTCCATGAACGCGGAACCGACGGCGTGGGAAAAAATAGGAACCGGCGATGCCCTTAGGAGTGTCTGATGGTCGAAGCAGGCTGCTGCAAACTGTAGTAAACAGAATGTTGACTTGTTGACGCGCCTGAACAAGTCAACGACGGGGAATTTAGGGATTGCCGTGAGACACGTTTCGACTTTTAAATCTATTTTGTCATTTTAAAACAAAAAGGATCTTGGCGAAATGTGAAGGGAAGACACACCTGAAGCACTTGTGTTAATAAGTCAACTCATTAGTCACCTCCCGGCGATGAAACACGGTGCCAGCGAGAGAGTTAGCGAAAGTATTGTGACTGATGGAAAGGAGAAAGCTAGGCGAACAATGCGGACATGAGAGGACTTCTGTCTGTCTCCTGTGATCAGCAGGAGGGAGGAGTGACACTGCGGTAAAAAAAAGGCCTGATTCAAGCTCGCGAAACGAGATCGAGAGAGATGGATTTTGAATACTGTAAGGTGGTGGTGGTTGGTGCTGGTTATTCCTCAGCATTGGTCGAGAATGGTGATTATTCTTTTCTGAAGTCCCTAGACTCCGTCTGAGGTAGGTGAAAACTACCTTGGAGATTGGTCGGTGGATGGTGGCCCCCGTGTAGTTTTCCAGGTAGGATGATCCTTTTGTATGTCATCCTGGCTCAACGTTACATCTTGGATGTTCGATCTCGGTTCTAACGGTTTATACTAGGTGTTACTGAATGTAAGGTGCTTCCAGAACGGTAATGTACATGCGCAGCAATTTGAGGTGATACGGGATGAAATCTATGACAGGTCCCAAGGTGGGGGGAACCGAACGGGCGCAGGTCGGGGTGGGATGCAACGCAATCCCTGCCAACCACGCTGAATGCGCTCGTTCGGAACGGCGGAATTGCAGGGGGCAGGGGCGGGTGGTCTGCGCAAAATGGATCGAGCTGCGTTTCACATACAATGCTCTTCCTGAGCTGCCTCGCGTACACTTGACATCGGGTCAGGTCAGGTGCTCCGTTCCGTTCCAGAAGCGGATGTCATGTCATGTCATGCCATGGTTGGACCGCTGCGCGCAGGATGTGCAAGTGGTTTGCAGCTTGCGCCACTCTCGGGCACGAATCGAGTGCGACGCGGGGTGACAAGAATACCGGCTGGTTGAAATGGTTGCAGATTCGATGGTGGGGCTGACGTGGCAGCCTTGCAAGGGGTTTACAGCCTGGACCCACTAAACCGAGATGGGCAACAAGGGCGCAGCTCGTCACGCTTGCGAGTCTCGTAGTTCTTCGCTAATCGTCTCTTTCTGACGACAGACGTCCGCTTTCGCCTAACGCAACCAACCAGGAGCCCTAACGACAATGGTATTCCTGAACGCTGCGCATCCAAGACAGGTGGATCATAGTTACCACCAAACTCGCCTTCTCGAGCTTCCCACAAAGGATTTCGCGGTTCGGTACTGACATTCTCCTCACTGCCACTTCAGGAGGCCCGGCCCATACCACCAAAGCCACGTGTGCTTTCCTCGCTACTATGACAACCTGATCGCGATCACATGGGCCTGGTGTGTAACGGCCCCAAAATTCCACCTGAAGCTGGGCGAGTGTCGCGAAAAGCGCCTGTAACAAAGCCCACCTTGTCCGTGCATCTCATCACCCTTCTTATGGAGTGAACGGAATGCACAAGAGAGCATGTGAGTGCAAACGAGTACATTAGTTAGTCAATGGGACGTCGTGGGATGATTTATGGGGCAGTGGCAAAAAGCAGCATATGAAAAAAAAACCGAGCCCAACAATACCAAATAGTGAAGCCCTTGCAAGTAGAGATCTCTCAAAACCAAGAGCGTCGTCAAGAAACTGGACAAGGAAACCACATTGATCGAAGCATGCGTTCAGTGTCGACCGCCTGCGATTCTACTGGTCTTGCCATTCGCCTCCCTCCGCATCTCCCTCTCCTCTCTTCCTAACCTTCCTTCGTCGCCTCATGCACTGGGGCAATGGCCTCATGGCAGCATGGGCATGCTTCCCCTCTGTCCATCAGCCATCCACCACTCCCTCCACTACTCCCTCTTCTCTCTTCACAACCTTCCTTCGTCGCCTCATGCACCGGGGCACTGGCCTCATGGCAGCACGGGTGTGCTTCTTAACCAGGTCACTTAGACAGTGTGGGTCCATCACACCAGAAGTCATCATGTCCCTGGGGTCTAGGTACAGTACCATCTGTCTAAGGTCTGAAAGAGGCTTCATTTGAACCTCTTTCACCTCTCCCTGAAACCTTGAACCAACGTTTTGAACCTCCTCACAACCAGCCGTCTCCCCCCCCTGCAATCCCAGTTCCCCATTCCCCTCAACCTCCTTCGATCCTCTCCGCCTCTTCACCTCCCTTTCACTAAATATCATCACCTGCTGCTGTGCCCTCTTATTCTCCTTCCCATGAAGCATCACTTCGTCCTCTGCCCCCCCATTCTCCTTCTTGAAAGATTCCGTGGTATGGCTGCTCCTCCTTTGCTCCAAGGCCAGTCGCTCGCTGCGAGTGGCCGGCACAGAGCGCAGCCACCACTGCAGCTCCTCCGTACCTGCACCCTGTACAATCACACCTGCTAAAGTCGCATCTGCACTCTGTACTGTCACACCTGCAACAGTCGCATCTGCTAAGGCTGCACCTGCACTCCGTACTGTCATACGTGCTGGTGTTTGTGCTGTTTCTTCTGCTGGTGCTGCTGCGGGTGCTGCTGCTGGTGCTGCTATTGCTGGCGGCGCTGCTGCCTTTTCTGCTGCTTCTGCTGCTGCTGCTGCGGGTGATTCTGCTGATGCTGCTGCTGTTTTTTCTGCTGCTGTTTCTGCTGGTGCTACTGCTTGTGTTTCTGGTGGTGCTGCCGCAGATGCTTCTGATGGTGCTGCTGCTGGTGTTTCTGCTGGTGCTGCTGCAGGTGTTTCTGCTGGTGCTGCTACTGGTTTTTCTGCTCGTTCTTTTGCTGGTGTTTCTGAAGGTGCTGCTACTAGTGTTTCTGCTGGTGCTACCGCTGGTGTTTCTGCTGGTGCTGCTGGTGGTGTTTCTGCTGGTGCTGGTGCTGGTGCTGGTGCTGCTGCTACTGCTGGTGTTTTTGATGGTGCTGCTGCTGGTGCTTCTGGTGGTGCTGCTGCTGGTTTTTCTGCTGGTGGTGTTGCTGGTGTTACTACTGGTTTTTCTGCTGGTGCTGCTGCTGGTTCGTCTGCTGGTGTTTCTGATGGTGCTGCTGCTGGTTTTTCTGCTGATGCTGCTGCTGGTTCGTCTGCTGGTGTTTCTGATGGTGTTGCTGCAGGTTTTTCTGCTGGTGCTGCTGCTGGCGTTTCTGGTGGTGTTTCTGATGGTGCTTCTGGTGGTGCTGCTGCTGCTGTTTCTGCTGGTGCTGCTGCTGGTTTTCCTGCCGTTTCTTCTGGTGGGAATGCTGTTGCTGGCAGCGCTGCTGCTGGTGCTGCGGTTGCAGCTGTTTCTGCTGCTACTATTGCTGTTGCTGCTTCTGCTGCTGCTGGTGGTGCTGATGCTGTTGGTACAGCTGGTGCTGCCGTCGGTACTAGTGCTGTCGTTGCTGCAGCAGCATCTGTCGTTCCTGCCACAGCTCCCGGCGACAAAACCACAGATTCTGCTGCTGTAGCAACTGAGTTTCCTGCAATGGCTACTGCTGGTGCCGCTGCTGCTAGTACCGTTGTTGCCGTTGCTGCAGCAGCGTCTGCCATTCCTGCTGCATCTACTACAGCTGGTGCTGCTGTCGGTACTAGTGCAGTCGTTGCTGCTGTAGCATCTGCCACTCCTGCCACATCCCCCAGTGACAAAACAACGGTTTCTGCTTCTGCAGCATCTGCCATTTCTGCCACAGCCACTGCTGGTGCTGCTGCTGCTGGCGGCGCTGCTGCTGTTGCTGCTGCTGCTGGCGGCGCTGCTGCTGGTGCTGCTATTGCTACCACACCAGTTGCTGCTATAGCAGGTGCCAATCCTGCAATCGAAGCCGCATGCACCAAAAACCCATCCACCCCCACAATGCCCAGCCTCAGCAGCCGGTGCGAGGGGGAGGGGAGGGTGGGCGTCAATGCCAGCTGGCGAATGACCTGTTGTGGAGAGGGAAGGGAAAGGGGGGGTGTTATTGAAGCCGCATGCACCGAAAATCCATCCACCCCCACAATGCCAAGCCTCAGCAGGCGGTGCGAGGGGGAGAGGAGCGTGGGAGTCAGGGCCAGCTGGCGAGTAATCTGTTGTGGAGAGTTGGGAGGGGAGGGGGGGTTGGAGGTCAAGGCGTTCTGGCTGTGTGGCCGACTCACCACCCCCTCGATGCGGAGCCTGCAGGGAGTTTTTGAGTATTCTCAAAAACTCCCTGAGACTCACCACCACCCCCACAATGCTGAGCCTCAGAAGGCGGTGCGGTCGGAGGGGGAGGGGAGCGTTGGCGTCGATGCCGGCTGGAGATGACTTGTTGTAAAGAGGCGGGAGGGAGGGAAGGGGAGGGAGGGTTGGCGGTTAAGGGGATATGGTTGTGTGGCCGACTCACCAACCCCACGATGCTGAGCCTCAGCAGGCGGTGCGGTGCGGTGGGAGGGGGAGGGGAGCGTCGGTGTGAGTGCGGGTAACAATAGAAAGAACAAGCTCAGAGCATGCACATGTGGCATACTCACATGGTACATCCATGCTGGCATTGACACCTGGCACTGCGTCAACCCGCCACGTGGATCCCCTCTCTCCTCCTCACTGCCACGTGTACCCCCCTCGCCACATGGTTCTCTTGCTCTGTCTTCCTCCATTCCCTTGCAAATCCCCTTGCTCTCATCATCTTTCCTAATGGATAAGCTAGGCAAGAGCTGTGCGGTCCTCTCGAGAACAGCGGAACGCAGGGAGGCGCGGACGTTATGAGGCGCCTCAGATGCCCTTTCCCCCTCACTGCCACGTGAAGCAAGCAAGGGCTGTGCGGTCCTCTCGAGAATAGCGGAACGCAGGGAGGCGCGAACTTGAAAAGGTTCGTCTGGGATTGTTCTAACACATATGCTGCTTATGTGACAGACGCTGCTGCTGCTGTTGCTGCTCCTGTACGTGATCTGCCCGTTCATCTGCCCGCTCGTCTGCCTGTTGATCTGCCCGTTCATCAGACAGTCTGTTAAGGGAGGAACAGAAGCTGTGGGATTCAAAGCAAGTGGTTCCGCTACAGGTTTATCTGCTGCAGGAATCTCTGCTGCTGCTACAGGTGCTGCTGCTGATGGTGCTGCTGTTGATACAGGTGCTGCTCCTGACGGTGCTGCTGTTGATACAGGTGCTGCTGCTGATGGTGCTGCTGTTGATACAGGTGCTGCTGCTGATGGTGCTGCTGTTGATACAGGTGCTGCTGCTGATGGTGCTGCTGTTGATACAGGTGCTAGGTGCTGCTGCTGATGGTGCTGCTGTTGATACAGGTGCTGCTGCTGATGGTGCTGCTGTTGATACAGGTGCTGCTGCTGATGGTGCTGCTGTTGATACAGGTGCTGCTGTTGATGGTGCTGCTGTTGATACAGGTGCTGCTGCTGATGGTGCTGCTACAGCTGCTGCCGCTGATGGTGCTGCTACAGCTGCTGCTGTCAATGTTGCTGCTGCCGCTACAGGTGCTGCTGCTGCCGATGGTGGTGCTGAGAGGGTGACAGCCGGAGGTGGGGAGCAGAGGTGCAGCAGGTGCAGTCGCAGGGCCTTCACAAGTGGCTGAAAGGGGGGAAACGGAGGGATGAGGGGAAAAGAAGCGAGGGGGGGGGGGGGGGGGGTGTTAGCAGGAGGTGGGGAGCAGAGGTGGAGCAGGTGCAGTCGTAAGGCCTTCACAAGCGGCTGATAGGGGAATGGGGGGAGGAAGGGGAGGGAAATGGGAGAGAATGGGGGAAAGCAAGGGAAAAGGGAGTGAGAGTTGGGAGGTGGGAAGCAGAGGTGCAACAGGTGCAGGCGCAGGGCCTTCACAAGAGGCCGGGAGGGGAGAAAAGGAGAAATGGGAGCAGAGCAGGGAGATGGGAGAAGCGGGGTTGCTGCTGCTGGAAGGGTGTCAGCAGCAGGTGGGGAGCAGAGCAGAGCACAAGAGGCGCGGGGAGATGGGAGAAGCGGGGTTGCTGCTGCTGGAAGGGTGTCAGCAGCAGGTGGGGAGCAGAGCAGAGCACAAGAGGCGCGGGGAGATGGGAGAAGCGGGGTTGCTGCTGCTGGAAGGGTGTCAGCAGCAGGTGGGGAGCAGAGCAGAGCACAAGAGGCGCGGGGAGATGGGAGAAGCGGGGTTGCTGCTGCTGGAAGGGTGTCAGCAGCAGTTGGGGAGCAGAGCAGAGCACAAGAGGAGCGGGGAGATGGGAGAAGCGGGGTTGCTGCTGCTGGAAGGGTGTCAGCAGCAGGTGGGGAGCAGAGCAGAGCACAAGAGGCGCGGGGAGATGGGAGAAGCGGGGTTGCTGCTGCTGGAAGGGTGTCAGCAGCAGGTGGGGAGCAGAGGTGCAGCAGGTGCAGTTGCAAGGCCTTCACAAGGGGCTGAGGGGGAAAATGGAGAAATGGGGGAAAAGAAGCGTGGGGCAGGAGGAAAGGAAGGGAACAGGGAGCGTGGCAGCAGGAGGAGGTGGGGAGCAGAGGTGCAGCAGGTGCAGCACATGAGGTGGTGCAGACATCACAACCGACAGAGCCTGCTGTGTTGTGCAAGGTGGAGTGCGGTGCAAAAGCTACATACATGACACCCCCAGCTCACCACGTCTGAGAGGAAAATGTCAGTCGGGCCGATGACAGTGAGGGGTAGACGGGCGCATGAAGTGACATCATAGCGGATGCCTTCTGTGTTGTGCAAGGTGGAGTGCGGTGCAGATGTTACACTACGTGAGAGTTGGGCCCCCCAGCTCACCACGTCTGACTGGAGGATGTCAGTCGGGCCGATGACAGTTAAAGGCAGGCGAGCGAGCGCATGAGGTGGTGCAGTGCAGGCGTCACAGCGGATAACCTGCTGCGTTATGCAAGGTGCAGTGCGGTGCAGATGTTACACCACAAGACCCCTCCCCAGCTCACCACGTCTGACTGGAGGATGTCTGTTGGGCCGATGACAGTAAGGGGTAGACGAGTGCATGAGGTGGTGCAGACGTCACAGCGGATGGAGCCTGCACTCTGATAGGCTGGCGGGTGCATGGCCTGGGGGAGGGGGGACCTGGGAATGTGGGGGTCGGGGGGTGGAACCAGGGATGCAAGGAGGAGGTGAGGGGAAGACGTCAGAGCAGTAGGAGCCCGTTGTTTGATACGCTGGCAGAAAGGTGCATGGCATGTGGGAGGGGGGACCTGGGGAAGGGTAGAGCCAGCGATGCAAGAAGGCAGGCAGGGAGGGAGGGATGGAGGGAGGGAGGGAGGGAGGGATGGAGGGATGGAGGGAGGGAGGGAGGGAGGGAGGGAGGGAGGGAGGGAGGGAGGGAGGGAGGGAGGGAGGGAGGGAGGGAGGGAGGGAGGGAGGGAGGGAGGGAGGGAGGGAGGGAGGGAGGGAGGGAGGGAAGGGGGGAGGGAGGGAGGGAGGGAGGGAGGGAGGGAGGGAGGGAGGGAGGGAGGGAGGGAGTGAGGGAGGGAAGGAGGGAGGGAGGGAGGGAGGGAAGGGGGGGAGGGAGGGAGGAAGGAGGAGGAGCATTACAAAGCATTACAAGGAGCAGATTGTACTGAAATAAGCATCTACCACCTACCACCTACAGAATAAGCAAATGCTAACCAGGCCGAAGCTGTCTGCTCTCCCCGACGCCTCTCTTCAGATTGTACAGTGATAAGCATCTACCACCTACCACCTACAGAATAAGCACCGCACGTCACCGCCGTATCGAGAGCACCTACCACCTACAGAATAAGCACCGCACGTCACCGCCGTATCGAGAGCACCTACCACCTACAGAATAAGCACCGCACGCCACCGCCGTATCGAGAGCACCTACCACCTACAGAATAAGCACCGCACGTCACCGCCGTATCGAGAGCACCTACCACCTACAGAATAAGCACCGCACGTCACCGCCGTATCGAGAGCACCTACCACCTACAGAATAAGCACCGCACGTCACCGCCGTATCGAGAGCACCTACCACCTACAGAATAAGCACCGCACGCCACCGCCGTATCGAGAGCACCTACCACCTACAGAATAAGCACCGCACGTCACCGCCGTATCGAGAGCACCTACCACCTACAGAATAAGCACCGCACGCCACCGCCGTATCGAGAGCACCTACCACCTACAGAGTAAGCACCGCACGCCACCGCCGTATCGAGAGCACCTACCACCTACAGAATAAGCACCGCACGCCACCGCCGTATCGAGAGCACCTACCACCTACAGAATAAGCACCGCACGTCACCGCCGTATCGAGAGCACCTACCACCTACAGAATAAGCACCGCACGCCACCGCCGTATCGAGAGCACCTACCACCTACAGAATAAGCACCGCACGCCACCGCCGTATCGAGAGCACCTACCACCTACAGAATAAGCACCGCACGCCACCGCCGTATCGAGAGCACCTACCACCTACAGAGTAAGCACCGCACGCCACCGCCGTATCGAGAGCACCTACCACCTACAGAATAAGCACTGCACGTCACCGCCGTATCGAGAGCACCTACCACCTACAGAATAAGCACCGCACGTCACCGCCGTATCGAGAGCACCTACCACCTACAGAATAAGCACCGCACGTCACCGCCGTATCGAGAGCACCTACCACCTACAGAATAAGCACCGCACGTCACCGCCGTATCGAGAGCACCTACCACCTACAGAATAAGCACCGCACGCCACCGCCGTATCGAGAGCACCTACCACCTACAGAATAAGCACCGCACGTCACCGCCGTATCGAGAGCACCTACCACCTACAGAATAAGCACCGCACGTCACCGCCGTATCGAGAGCACCTACCACCTACAGAATAAGCACCGCACGTCACCGCCGTATCGAGAGCACCTACCACCTACAGAATAAGCACCGCACGTCACCGCCGTATCGAGAGCACCTACCACCTACAGAATAAGCACCGCACGTCACCGCCGTATCGAGAGCACCTACCACCTACAGAATAAGCACCGCACGCCACCGCCGTATCAAGAGCACCTACCACCTACAGAATAAGCACCGCACGCCACCGCCGTATCGAGAGCCCCTACCACCTACAGAATAAGCACCGCACGTCACCGCCGTATCGAGAGCACCTACCACCTACAGAATAAGCACCGCACGTCACCGCCGTATCGAGAGCACCTACCACCTACAGAATAAGCACCGCACGCCACCGCCGTATCGAGGGCACCTACCACCTACAGAATAAGCACCGCACGTCACCGCCGTATCGAGAGCACCTACCACCTACAGAATAAGCACCGCACGTCACCGCCGTATCGAGAGCACCTACCACCTACAGAATAAGCACCGCACGTCACCGCCGTATCGAGAGCACCTACCACCTACAGAATAAGCACCGCACGTCACCGCCGTATCGAGAGCACCTACCACCTACAGAATAAGCACCGCACGTCACCGCCGTATCGAGAGCACCTACCACCTACAGAATAAGCACCGCACGCCACCGCCGTATCGAGGGCACCTACCACCTACAGAATAAGCACCGCACGTCACCGCCGTATCGAGAGCACCTACCACCTACAGAATAAGCACCGCACGCCACCGCCGTATCGAGAGCCCCTACCACCTACAGAATAAGCACCGCACGTCACCGCCGTATCGAGAGCACCTACCACCTACAGAATAAGCACCGCACGTCACCGCCGTATCGAGAGCACCTACCACCTACAGAATAAGCACCGCACGCCACCGCCGTATCAAGAGCACCTACCACCTACAGAATAAGCACCGCACGCCACCGCCGTATCGAGAGCACCTACCACCTACAGAATAAGCACCGCACGTCACCGCCGTATCGAGAGCACCTACCACCTACAGAATAAGCACCGCACGTCACCGCCGTATCGAGAGCACCTACCACCTACAGAATAAGCACCGCACGCCACCGCCGTATCGAGGGCACCTACCACCTACAGAATAAGCACCGCACGTCACCGCCGTATCGAGAGCACCTACCACCTACAGAATAAGCACCGCACGTCACCGCCGTATCGAGAGCACCTACCACCTACAGAATAAGCACCGCACGTCACCGCCGTATCGAGAGCACCTACCACCTACAGAATAAGCACCGCACGTCACCGCCGTATCGAGAGCACCTACCACCTACAGAATAAGCACCGCACGTCACCGCCGTATCGAGAGCACCTACCACCTACAGAATAAGCACCGCACGTCACCGCCGTATCGAGAGCACCTACCACCTACAGAATAAGCACCGCACGCCACCGCCGTATCGAGAGCACCTACCACCTACAGAATAAGCACCGCACGTCACCGCCGTATCGAGAGCACCTACCACCTACAGAATAAGCACCGCACGTCACCGCCGTATCGAGAGCACCTACCACCTACAGAACAGCAAGGCACCACAATCCCACTCCCACAGAGCACAGCACCGCACAGCACTGAACAAACTCACCCGAGCTTGTGCACGATTCGCAGGCCTCGAACCTGGGAGTGGGACAGGGGGAATGAGGGAAAGGACCGATGGGCGCGATAGAAAGCACAATGCCGGATGAAAATCGTGTGGGTTTCTTGAAAAACATAAAAATTCCTTTGCTCGGGCTACTATGTCTTTGAGACATCTTAAAAACACTCTAATTTCACGTGATGAAAAACACGAGGGTTCTTCGAAATACACAAAACTTCCTTCGCTAGGGCTACTATGTCTCACATCCGTCCCGTCTCACCTTAGTCCCATCCGTACTAAGGTGTGCTACAGACAGACCAAAAGTGACATACATCCGCTTGCTTTTGAGTCGACTCAAAAGTCACCTCGTCCCATCCGTCCGTACTAAGGTGTGCTACAGACAGACTAACAGTGACATACATGCGCTTGCTTTTGAGTCGACTCAAAAGTCACCTCGTCCCATCCGTCCGTACTAAGGTGTGCTACAGACCAGCAGTGACATACATCCGCTTGCCGCAGACAACAATGCCACTCTCTCACCTCGAACTTGCCGCAGACAACAATGCCACTCTCTCACCTCGAACTTGCCGCAGACAACAATGCCACTCTCTCACCTCGAACTTGCCGCAGACAACAATGCCACTCTCTCACCTCGAACTTGCCGCAGACAACAATGCCACTCTCTCACCTCGAACTTGCCGCAGACAGCAATGCCACTCTCTCACCTCGAACTTGCCGCAGACAACAATGCCACTCTCTCACCTCGAACTTGCCGCAGACAACAATGCCACTTTCTCACCTCGAACTTGCCGCAGACATCAATGCCACTCTCTCACCTCGAACTTGCCGCAGACAACAATGCCACTCTCTCACCTCGAACTTGCCGCAGACAACAATGCCACTCTCTCACCTCGAACTTGCCGCAGACAACAATGCCACTCTCTCACCTCGAACTTGCCGCAGACAACAATGCCACTCTCTCACCTCGAACTTGCCGCAGACAACAATGCCACTCTCTCACCTCGAACTTGCCGCAGACAACAATGCCACTCTCTCACCTCGAACTTGCCGCAGACAACAATGCCACTCTCTCACCTCGAACTGCACCAGAGACAGCAGGCCACGGGCAATAGTGACGGCATCAGAGGGTCCCTGAGCGCATGGGGGAGAGAGAGGGGGTGAGGGGTCGGGCAGATGAGAAAGGGACAATCATTCCCTCTCACGCTCTCACCTCGAATTGCACCAGAGTCAGCAGGCCACGGGCAATAGTGGCAGCATCAGAAGGACCCCGAGCGCATGGGGAAGTGGGAGGAATGTTTTGAGGCGCCTCAAAACACACCCCGAGCGCATGGGGAAGTGAGAGGAATGCTTTGAGGCGCCTCAAAACACACCCCGAGCGCATGGGGAAGTGAGAGGAAGTAAGGGAACCAGCCGACGACTATAGTAATGCAATCAATGATTGATTATACAGATTATTACAAATCATAAATACCCACTGAACACCCACTGAACTGAATGCGAAATGTCATGCGCCATGCGCCGTGTGCCATGTGCCATGTGCCATGAGACATCTGACATGTGCCATGCGCCATGTGCCATGTGCCATGTGCCATGTGCCATGCGCCATGTGCCATGCGTCATGTGCCATGTGCCATGTGCCATGTGCCATGCGCCATGTGCCATGTGCCATGTGCCATGTGCCATGAGACATGAGACATGAGACATGAGACATGAGACATCTGACATGTGCCATGTGACATCTGACTGACACGCCTTATGTGCCATGCCCCATGTGCCATGCGACATGCCTTATGTGCCATGCGACATGTGCCATGTGACATGCCTTATGTGCCATGCCCCATGTGCCATGCGACATCCGAGATGTGCCATGTGACATGCCTTATGTGCCATGTGACATCTGACTTATGCCATGTGTGCGTAGCTCACCAGTAGAAGTAACCTGGCTGTCTCCAGCAGCGTTTCAGGTGAAAGCTCAGGTGAAGCAACAGTGGCAGGTGAAACAGCAGTGGCGAGAGCTGCAACACAACTGCCAGCAACAGCAGCGGTGGCAGCACCAGGAGGAGGACGAGGAGGAGGAAAGG